TGATCGCGCCAGCTTTTGGCACTGTCTATCTTAGAATGAATCGCCCATAAAAGGCCTTTCCATTCTGAAGCGTCTCTACCGTGACTCTCGATGCCGTGTGACGGTCTACGTGAAACTGTCTCCTGAGTTCCCCACGGCAAGTGTGGTTCGTTAGGGTTGTTAGATATTTCCTTTCCTCTTAAACTTTGTGGTCTAAATGACCATAAATGACTCGGTTATTTTATGCTCCTCCAGAGTGACATTTTTGCCAAGTGATTGTTATACGTACGACAGTTTTCCTTGTATCTGATACGGTGGCTGTGCAGGTGATATTGAATAGGCTGGCGAATACGGCTTCACACTTTGGCATGGGCTTTGCACCAAAGTATAAAGTACTGTTGCGGCATTGGACCTATACGCCTCCGGTTTTAACTATGAGAAAACAGCCACTGAATAAGTTGAATCGATTCACTTATCTTGATATCTCTGTCACCTCTGGTGGTCACATCACTGAAGTGATCACATAACGTGTGGCTTTTCAGAGGCCTAACCATCTATGGATACGGTGGGATATCAGCTTGTCATTGATAAGTAGCGTGTATAGTGCTGCGATAAGGCCCGCATTGTTGTATGGATAAGATATCTTGTCACTTCACAGTGAAGACATTAAACGCTTGACTTTGTTTGTTCACTGGTGTTTGTCAGGTATTCCTCACATCTGGTAAACAATGCTGTGGTCCGCCAGTTAGTTTTTGACCAGAAGCTCTCTGGTGCCTAACTCGAGTGTTTGCTGAAACTCAACCGCTTACGTTGGCTCGAACATCTCTTCCACACACCCGTGTTACATGTATGCTTAAAGGTAAAGCACCAGCCCACTCAGGCTGAGGGACACCACATGTACATGCACGCACGCACGCGCGCACATTGTTCTCCTCAGCTCAGCAGGAAACGCGATCGAAAGTGCGCTGTCAGTTATGGATTAAATTGTGTTAAGTTCACACGTGTTTTCCGACGCTGTCGTTACATGCCATTTAGAGCATAAGCTCCCGAACGTCTAATTACTGAGCGGAAGACATATCAGCTTGTCGCCAGCCTTCCTCGGTCGGCATTATACGTCGTCGCCGCACTAAGTTGGGTGAAACCGCGAGGTGGCAAGTCGATGACGTGGCCTAAAGACAGAGAATTTGACTGTGTGGTTTCGTCAAGCTGGTGCGCGCCGTCTTCTTGGATGGGAAGCTCGAGATGGTCCACCTCAGTGGTTGGTGACTCTATTATACATGACCCATCCGCGTAGTTTGCGTCGTTTCTACATCCGGTTTCTTGCACCTAGCTGCCAGATTCCATTCCATTGCAATTAGTTTTACACGCTTCTTTATTGACTTCACTTTCTTTACCCTCCATCGCATCTTCAGTAGTCATCAGCCGTATGCCGGCACACCTTACTGGCACTGCCCTGTGACCACCACCGGTTGCGCGCGTGCTGGGTATAACGCTAACTCGCCCGCAATTGCGCTGATTCGTGTCGGTGACATCCGGATTACAAGGCAAGCATGTAGTCCACAGCCGACCTATGTTCCAATGCGTTCAAACTCATTTCAGCACCGTTGTTATATATTGTTATTCTGGGGCTGTTTGGATTCCTCCAGCCTTCTTCAAATTCAGTGGACCTGCTCTTATTAATGATCTACGCGCGTGGGTAGTGAAACTGTGGGAGCAGGAAACTGTCCCAACCGACTGGAGTCGCTCTGTTATAGTCCTAGTTTTCAAGTGAGGCTGCCGTTCGGAATGCGACAACCATGGAGGAATCAGTGTGATCTCCACCGCCTCCATAGTGTTTGCCTCTGTCATCCTTCACAGACTGACTGACACTCTTGAAAGTCAGATACGCGAGGAGCAAGCCGGGTTTAGTCGCAATCGTGGCTACATCTACCACATCTTTACGTCAGTTGTTGGAGCACCGCCATATTTATTGGCCACCCACCGTAGTCATGTTTCTCGACATCAAACGTGCTTTCTTTTCGGTGCATCGATGTGCCCTTTGGGATTTTCTGTTTAAGAACTGTGGGCCCGACAAATACGTAATCTGTGCGCTGTACGCGCATAGTTCGGGCAGGGTGAGGGTTTATGGTAAAATTCACCGCCCTTCAATATCTCCTGCGGTGTGAGACAAGCTTGCCCGCTGTGACCTTACCTCTTTAACTTCGCCACTGACGAAGTCATGGAAACAGCGTTCGCTGAACACGACCTAGAAGGTGCGAAGCTACTTCCTGGTGAGCGACTTCTTGACTTGCAGTATGCTGACGACATTGCCCTCATATGTGACAGCACCCAAACGTGCCAAGCAGCACTGGACAGATTATCACTGGCTGTCAATGGTTTTGGGCTACGCTTTGCTCCATCGAAATGCAAGTTCCTTCTCTAAGGTTGGCAGGGTCCTACCCCTGCGCTGACCTTTGGTGGTGATCAGCCAGAAGTCGTTCAGGTATTCTACTACCTAGGCAGTTATATTAGCGCCTGTGAGCTTAAAGATGAGGTCGCGAACTGTATAGCAAAAACTCGAAGTGATTTTACGAGTCTCCGCCATCTGTGGCGCCGTCGCGACATCACTCTCGCCCTGAAGTGCAGAGTTTACCATGCAGCTGTCCGTTCAACCCTCTTATACAGTTGTGAAACCTGGCCCATCAGGTAGACATTATCACTCATCATCATACACCTTAGCTGCAGGTGGAAAACACCTCAGCTACTGTGCCGTATTACAAAGGACAAGAAAAGGAAGAAAAATTGGCACGCCGACTGGGTCTCCATTAACGGATGGACATCGTTCCGGAGAGCTAACTGCCGGCTATCGTGCCGCAAAAGTTATGTTATGCCTGACGAATGCGATCGTGATTGGTGGGGGAGGCTAAGCAAGAGGGGATGGGCAAAGGAACTCACAACGCAAATGCCACTGGGGGCGGCTCCTAGCCATATCAGCAAGTGTGTCCAACCAAACGTGTTCACCGTCCTTAGGACCCCAGCCAGGCAGTCGGGATGCACCGACTGACGTCAACTTCGAAGTGAGGGTTTTCATATCTCCCGACCAAGTCATCGCTTGGCTTCCCCTCCTCTTGCAACCACACCCCCGGCGCGCAAACCAATGCACGTTGCGGGAGTCGGTGTACTGGCATGCGCAACATGTGGCCCAGCCATCGGAGCCTGGTGCGTGATATAACGGTGCTGAGCGGTTCACTCGCTCTTCCTGCACCAACTACGCGACGTCGAACACGCTCATTGCTCACGCGTCACTGCCACCAGACATGAGCTAAGCTGAGAAGACAGCGATGATCGAACGTGGCTAGCCTCTTTATGTCTGTCGACCTGATGCGCCTTGTTTCACAACCATATAGGAGAGTTAAACGAACTGCTGCATTATTAACTCTGCCCTTCAGGGCGAGAGTAATGTCACGTCGGCGCCACAGGTGGCGGAGATTGGCAAAAGCACCTCGAGATTTTGCTATACGGATCATAACCTCATCTTCGATCCCTCGGGCGCTAATAAAGCTGCCCAGGTACTTGAATTCCTGAACGACTTCTAACAGATCAACACAAAGCGTTAGCGCAGGGTTGGGTCCCTGCCAATCTTGGAGAAGTACTTTGCATTTCGATGAAGCAAAGCATACCTCAAAGCGATTGACAGCCAGTGCTAATCCGTCCAGTGCTGTTTGGCATGTTTGGGAGCTGTCACAGACTAGGACAATATCGTCCGCATACTCTAAGTCAAGAAGTCGCTCACCAGGAAGTAGCTCCACACCTTTTAGGTCGTGTCCAGCGAACACTGTTTCGATGACTTCAATCAGGTAGGCAGATATAAAGAGGCTAGCCACGTTCGATCATCGCTGTCTCTGCAACTTAGATCATGTCTGGCGGCAGCACCGTGTGAGCAATGAATGGGTTCGGCGTTCCGTATTTGGTGCAGGGCGAGCGAGTGAACCGCTCAGCACCGTTGTATCACGCACCAGGCTCCGATGGCTGGACCACGAGTTGCGCATGCTAGCACACGAACTCCCGCGACGTGCATTGTTTGTGCGCTAGGGGTGCGGTTGAAAGAGGAGGAGGGGAGGCCAAGCGATGACTCGTTTGAGATAAATGAAAACTCTTCGGTTGGTGAATGCCGACTGCCTGGTTAGGGTCCTAAGGACGATGATCACTTTTGTTTGGACGCACTTACTATCATGATTAGTAGCAAGTCCCAATGGCGTTTGTGCTGTGAGTTTCTTTGTCCATCCCCCTCTCCTCCAGATTCCACCTCTCATCGCCATCTTATAGCAAATTAATAATAAAATATTTAACATTATGTTACTTGTTTTTGAACTTTTTGCAGTATTCTTTTTAGCATATTATCTTTTTTATAGTGCGGCATATTAGCTGATGTGTGTTTCTCACCCTCAGCTAACGTGTGTTGATGATTCTTATTCTTTCGACGTGAGTCGTGGCAACTGGATTCAATAGATCGTCACTGCTTGGAAGCTAGTTGTTTAGCTGAACTGGCTTGTCCTTTTGGACTGGTCCTCTGGCATAGAGATCGAGAGTGAGATCGGACTTTTGAGATTAAATAAGGCCGTGCGACCTAATGAACCACCTTTATGCCTTTGCGGATCAGCTCTTGGGGATGGTTTACTAGACCTATTGGTAAATTTGTGGGAGCAGGAAACTACCCTACCGACAAACTGCTCCGTTATTGTCCCGATCTTCAATTTTGGCTCGCGTTCGGATTGCGGCGACCAAAGAGGTACCAGTCTGTCCTCCAAGGTACTCGCTTCCGTCGTTCTTCACAGATTGGCCATCGCCAGCGGAAGCAAGGTTCTTCTGGAGCAGGCTGGGTTTCGTAGAAATGGAGGCTTCGTTGATCACATCCTCATTTTGCCTTAATCGTCAGAACACCGCTACTTATGTCAGCGACTCACCGTAGTCGTGTTCATCGACATCAAGGTTGCCTTCAATTCGGTGGATGGATGTGCCCTTTGCAACTGTTTGCTTAAAAAATGTGTGCCCGAGAAATACGTAAGTTATATCATGACACTTTCTGTGCCTAATTTGAGTCTATTGAGTAGTTATGGTAAGCTGTCGGCAACCTTCAATATCTCCAGTGGTATGAGACAGATGCGTTTGTTGTCATCTTTCCTTTTTGATTTCGCTTTTGACTAAGTTATGGAAACTGCGTTCACCGGACTCGATTTAAAAGGTTTTCACTTTCTTCCTGGTCAGTAACTTCTCCTTTTTGAGCAGTTCGACAATATGGTCTTAACTGTGCTAGTTTCCAACCCTACCAATTAGTGTGAACATATTGGCAAACATTGAGTATGCGGACAACATAACTCCTTGGTTTTGACGCGGTAGCTACGCAAGCACTATTGAACAGGATAGCTCTGGCTGTCAGGACTTTGCAATCTCGAAATGTGGAGCTTTTCGCCAGTATTGACAAGAACCAACTTTTGCGCTGTCGCATCGTGAGCACCAGATTGAAATCGTTCTGAATTTCAAATACCTAGGCAGCGATATCAGCGCTTGTGGTATAGATGAGTTTACGAACCATGTAGTAAAAGCTCGAGGCGCTTTTGCTTGTCTGTGCCCCATGTGACGCCAGTGCGACATCACTGTCGCCTGGAAGGTACAATGTTCTCTGCTGTCTGCCGTTTGACGCTGTTGTACGATTGTGAAACCTGACTAATCAAATCGACAGACGTAAAGTGGCTAGTTGTGTTTGGCCATCGCTACGTTCGCAGTTTTGATGTGGTCTAGTGGGAACACTGTGTGTGATGAGTGTTTGGCGTCGTGTATTTGGAGCAGGAAAAGCGAGTGAACCGCTCAGCACCATTATGTCACGCACCAGGTTCCGATGGCTGGGCCACGTGTTGCGCGTGCCAGCACATCGACTTTCACGGTGTGCGTTTGCACTACCGGGTTCGGATCAAGGAATAGGGAGGGGAGGTCAGCTGATGATTTGGTCAAGGGGAATGAAGTCCCTCACTTGGAAGTTGACCTCGGTTAGGGCTTCTCAATTTTTTGTGATCTGAATGATGAACATATCTGGTTGGAGGAACTTGTTGACATGGCGAAGAGCCGACCGCACTAGCCTTTGTGTTGTGAGTTCCTTTGTCTGTTCCCCGCTTACTTTACCCCGATCCAGCCACGATCTCGACGTCAATGCATAGAAGTGTTTTTGTTTGGTTTTGCGTTCGTTTTTACTACTCTTTTTATTGCCACCTAATTGAATTGTATTACGGCTCGTCCGCTGTCATGTAATGCAACACGTACACAACTATCCAACGCACCCTGACGCTTTGCACCTCCTCGCTCTGCTATACCACATCACATTGATAATATCACCGCGGTTTGTGACGGAACGTTTGTAGTAAAACTGCGAAGCTCAGCGAATACGTCGGCCTCCAGCTGAACAAACTGGGCTACCAGTACTTTATACCAGAACGACAACTGTGAATCTTACCCATATGATATACAAGCGTTGCTGAATGAGCTGGCGTGCAGCTTGGCACGCTTCGATATGTGTTTTGCACTTTCGATGTGCAAGCATCTTATAGTACTAAGCCAGCGCTCCGCCAATTTTCACATTCACAGAACAACTGCTCGGTTTACTTATTGAAGTAACTGTGTCAACTTTGGTTTCGGCCAGTGTCCGATTGGTATGGGGCCTTCGCGTTACCATCTGCAGGTCATCGGCTCATATCTGCGTTAGTGCATGTAACGTCATAGTATCCCTAACCCGCGCGCTACTGGTACTAGTCGCTTGGCGGCGATGCGTCTGTACGACGTACTGTCGTGCTTCTGATTTTTCCTTTACCATTACTAACAAGTCCTCGGGTGACTCTGAGTGTCCGTCGAATTTCGAACTACTTGCACTGGCTAGGTCATATGTTGCACGTACTTTCAAGCTAGTTACCTCTGTTTGTGTTGATTGTGAATACTGGGCTCAATCGAGCGAAATCCTCTGACGATTAGTTTATTGTATGACAAAGAGTCGTTATGAACTTCGACGCAAAGGTGAGAGTAGTTGGTGTTTATCTTCTTTCCGGCGGAAGTTCGCGGGATTGGCCAACTCCTTAATTTAGTGTTCCATCGGATACGGCGCGGTAATGAAGTCTTCGGCACTTTAGCATCCTCTTCCTTGTAACTGAATAAACTATTATGTGTGACGATTTTAAGTTTTACCTATTCCCTCTGAATTATTGTTATTTTGGTGACCTTCATCATGACAACTGGACCCACCGCACATTGACGTATCAGTTGTAGTCCATCACTGGCAAATAGTATCCATCTCTCTTCTTAATGTTATTCTGTAATAGTAGGGCAACTATGGTTGCATGTCGGTGAAGCAGCGGTACAATGTACGGCTGTCTGTCTTTGTTGTTGCTCGTTGGAACGCTGAAATATATCGTTATCCTTCATAGCTTCTATTACCGATCTTTTTAGTCTCATAAGCTCTGACGATTTTCTCCTCAGTTTCTGATACATCATTCATTTCCTCTGTTCTTTGTAGACATGAACCACCCTGATCGAGATGTTCAGCTTACCGACGAAGACGTGCAAACGGTGAAAAAATGCAGAGATTTATCTTTTTGGTTCGGCAGCGTTCCTTTCACTATTGGATCATGTGTTGCTGTTGGTGTATTTCATAACATGGGGTTTTTCGCCAACAGGCCTAAACTTCTAGTCCCAAGCTATTTTTTCGCATCCATTTTCGGTTTTTTGGGAGGCAAATTGTCTTACATGAATAAGTGTAAACAGATGTTCTTGGATTTGAACGACAGTCGTATAAAAGATTATATACTTCAATCAAAGGGGTTTCCCCCATTGAATCCGGCTCCAGATTCTCCGCTGATTGTCAACACACCAGTCAAACCGGATGAAGGTGCCTCCAAACCCATGACATACGCTGAGCGCAGGGCTTATTTTCGGAATCATCCGGAAAGTTTACGTCCTAAACCTCAGACGACGCCCTCACAAGAAGAGCCGTCACCCGACAGGCACGATGAGGGTTTGTCTATTTTTAATGATGATCGACCTTCCGGATCCTTTCAATTCGATGATATTTATAGGCCCCGCGACTAGACTCGATCGCATTACTTTCTTTTCAATGAGCCACTACTTCGCTCACAGATTACATGAATCTGTTCTCTACCATGCGTGTGATGGACAATATGATTCTGCTCTGTGCCTTTTACCTTGGTGAAATTGGTTGAATTTTCAGCAGTTGTACCTAGCTTAGAACCTCCTTATTATCGAGCACACTTCGTTACAGCGCTCCTCTGAGCCTGACTGGAAAAATACGCTCGTCTGTTTCTGCTTACGCCCATGTCCGATTGACCTTCGACGGGGCTCACCAGTGGCTGATACTTCAGGATACTTTTTATACATCTTGTTCAAAAGTATTCGGATAAATTGTTGCAGTTTCTCATTTACTTTTACCTAGTTAGCGGGCCGCATCTCCAGCTAACTCCGTGAGGTGGGGGTGTAGAGATGGTTAGCTTCTCGTGTTGCCCACCCAACAACATGTACCGGGCGATGTCAACGTGATCAACTCGATCTATCACAGGCAGCCTGCTGAAATCCCTCCTTCGTAGTTTTGCGTTTTTATCTAGCATTCGCACCGCATTAACCCTGACCGATTCATGTGCCTACGAATACGAGCATCAACAGGCTATAACTTCCTCAGATCCCCGCTACTAACCCATTTTGTTGGTCGCAGACAAGCAATTTGCGGTGACGTAATCGGGGATGGCGCTGGTACCCAAATGGGCGCATGACACCTTCCGGTACTGTGCAGTCGACTCACCATTTCTGAGCTTCCTCACGCTCAGCTGATGCACGTTGAACTATGGTCTGTTAGTTCAAATGCTGCATCTGAATCAGGTTTGAGACGCAATCACAGTCCCTAACCACTTTCTCTCTGCTGCTTCGCGCTATCAAGGTCTTGCGTCGGTTAAGGCTGATTTGGAGGACTTCTGTAAATCAGCCTTAAACGACGATTTGGAGAACTTCTGAAGCCGGCCCGTAGACTTGTAAGATCACAACCCTGTCTTATAATTTGAGGGCGCGGGTTCTAGCCCGCGTAGGGGCAGGTCGACACTCGCAGTGTTCTTAGCCCACGTGCGACCGGTGGTGTTTTCGCGGCAGCGAAGCGTCGGTACTACGTACCAGCGTACTGCCGGTACCTTTGGAGGACTTATGCACTCAGTCGACCATAGTATTTCTGCAGGTTTGGAAGAGATAGGATGTCCCAACCGATTGAGGGGAATCGGTCATAGCGACATTATAGCAGAAGGGCAGGTGCCATATGTGTATCAACTTGATATCGGTAGTGAAAATCTTACTGGCCTATACCTCGTCCACAGCTTTACTGCGGGACGGGTTCCCACTTGGTGGAAGAGCAGTTATATATCCACAGGACACGGGGCTGTATAAAGCATACTTTTGACTGCGGCAAGTACCGGAGCAGTGTCATGTTCCGCAGATCTGTTGTCACTGTATCGATTTGAAGTGCACATGCAGCTCAGTATATCGCTATGTTCTGCCCCATACACTTGTATGGAAAAGTGTTCCCGTGAACTTTGGGATCAATTCGCGCACGCGATCCTCGAACGCCGCATCTTCATGGTCCACAGTGAATTCTCAGATCTTGTACCGTCAAGAAGTGTCGTTCACCGGGTTTGTCCTATTTCCACCAAATTTGATCGTTGACCCCATCATAAAGATTTCCCCAATATAGTCCGAAGATGCTGGTATTAAAGTCATGTTTAGGGTGATTAACCGATTTGAATTGTGCAGATACTGTCATCTTAATGTTCTACAATCACAGTCCTTTATAAGTTGTCTGAAGATGTTCTAAATTTTGGCATGCGCGTTTTTGTATTTAACGTGCTGAATACTTTTTGCGGTGTCATCGTATATTTACTAGCCCCTAATTCTTGAGAACGGCGAATTAGACATAAACAGTCAATTCACCCACCGGTTAACTGCATTGGCTTCCACGGACACTTACATGCTGCGTGATTTTGTACTCTGTTTTTGCATCCGGTATATCGAGCACCAGATTGGGTTTTTTTGGCCTGATCGGTCGTGTGTACAGGACCACAATGTGGGCCGTTATCCTCTGCGGTGGTGTGACTTATCTCCTTCAGTCCAGTGAATACAATCACCTACAAACTATTTTGTATCGTTGCCTACATAGCAATGCTTGTATCGAATTACATCAGCTTGTCAATAGGCCAGTACTGGACAGTGGTTCATTCGATCGACAAATTGGCGTAAATGATTTGGGCACCGCCGGTTCATTGCTTACCGAGAGGGGCCACCCATATTTGCCAGTTCTGGAATTGCGTAACGCCCAGTCGGCGGATCATTGACCTGATAACTGAAATTGAAGTCACTGGGAACTAGATTTGGCGCTGCTTCCCTGTTTCATTCTCCAGTCTGGGGTCCATCATATTTTGGCTACCTTATAGAACGTTGCTCAGTAGCCACCACCCGTGGTTTGTCTGTGGTCTTCTCTCAACCATATTACCTTCTTGAATCTTGTAATGCATTGATTTGTCTGTGGTATGAGTATGCTTACGATACTTGCAAAGAAACTTTTAATGCATTTGTCTCGTACCATGGTCAGCACCTCCGTTCATCCGTAGTTCGCTTGGCGTGGTCACCCGAATCCTGAATGTTGCATTTAGGTTTTGCATCGAGTGCTTCTTTCTGTTTCTTTATTAGTGCGATAATTACGTCTGCGTTGGCAGTGGAGCGCCACTACACTTTGCTGGTGCATCCCTTTGTCTACAGTTTTCCCTAGTTCGATTATGTTTATCTTCCACTGCATCATAGCTCATATCTCTTCACTAGTTTGACAATCTGCGTACACAAGTGCGATCCTGCTATTATATTTACGCGACCGATAGTGTCGACCCGTTGGGTGAAGCTACCACTGTCGGTGATCTCAAGGTTTTACTTTCTTTGCAGTTTTACTGCCAAGTGCAACCAATCTCTCCATCAAACGATCGATCTCATTACGAGTTAACTTCCGCTGACCATCTACTCGTCCCACTACATTTTGAATCGTTACTTACTTTCATTCTGTTTACCTACACACCCTATTCTATGCGTCGTCTATGTTCAGCCGTTTTAGCTACCCCTGCCCTTTTTTACATTCTTTTTTCATTTGTCTTATTAAAATTAACTACCCGTCTGTGTACAGCTTCCATTTTATTTACTCTCACACATCCTGTGGACCAGTGATTGCAAGCCGATACTTGTTGCCCATCTTAGCTTAACATATCCAACGCTTCGGTCTGCTCCAGATGCAACCACTGCGAGGTTTTTGTTCGAACTCCACTGCCCGTTTCCATCACGGGATCATTTCTTACCACAACGAATCCCAAGACCGATAGATGTTCGTTGCAACTACCCATCTCGGGATGTTGTTGGGAACCTGGCTGATCACAGACAATCTTGCCCAACGATAAACATTATTGTGTATCAACACGTAATGTGGTTTTCATGATTGATGTTAGCCCCAGGAAACTACTATTTGATCGTACGACACGAAGCTCCACCTAAGCGCCATCTGCAATAGGTGACGATTCCTACCTTGAACCACATACCGGCAGAATTAGGCTCTGTCCCCTTCTGCTGCAACTGAAATGAATATTTTCGCCAACCACATCTCACATGGTTGAAAAAAATGGCAGTTCAGATAGAAAGGGGAAAGGTTTAGTCATTGGGTCTGGCGTCATAAATAACAAATAAATGCGTCGAATAAATGGTTCTCGGGATGAACGGTGCGCATTGCCGGCGTCTTCGTTTCGCATCGGGTGCAAGTGGACCGAATAATTCGATAGAAGACCTGCACCGCTTGGGGGTACGGGCATCATCGATGCTCCAGTATGTTCCGAATTCTCCAAGTCTTTTTCGTCAATCCATCTTCAAGATGACCGAAAAATTGATCACATCCCTCGCAATCGGCTAGGGCTATTTATTTGAGTAACTGGGGCGAATAGAGTAGGGTAATACATGATTTTCAAGAGTCAGCCTAAAACTAATTACGTACACCAAACAATATTCGAGCCAAACGCGCATTAAAGTTGTTTGGAAGGCCAAAGAGATGTGGTAGTATTTTCGGAAAAAAGCGCCCTGTTAAGCATCACAAACGTGTAGACTGAGGAGAACTGAACCAGTTAGCCGCCTGTAGTCCGTCCAGCAAAGTGGAAATCGAGAGAACAAGCGCGCGTAAGATACTCAAAACTGAACCGACCGTAAACGGACAGGATATACAAAAGGAATTGTTACGGAAGCTGACAGCACAGTCTCGACCAAAATGCATAAAAGTGGAGGTAGAAAACGAATTGTCTACAACGGAATAATCCTGTTAACTAAACGACATCGGTAGTCGAGATTAATTCATTGGATGGTCGAAGTGTTCACAGTGACAACCATGGTGGCAACACCGACTGGCTAGGTCTCGTCGTTTAGGTGCACCACCGGTATGAAATCCACACCCAGGGGGTAGGAAACGCATGAGTCCAATGCGTACAAGAGAAGCTGAAAGGGTAGTTGAGGGTGGAGAATGTGAAAATGGAGGTTCAGTGTCGAATACGATGATATACTAGTATACAGAATAAAAACCTCGGATTATTTCAATCTATATGCGCGCAGACGAAGTATCCATGACAAACAGTTATAATGCCTGCACTAATTCAATAGTGTATGATGAGATAAAAAGCATAACTTTACAAGACCCACAGGATGGATATGAAAAAGAAAATTAAAATGTTCCAACCTGGAACATGAAGTGCCATTGGTTAAACCATTGCACTTTAACAAACTGTTGTGTAGCGTTTATCACTAAGGTGAAAGTCTAAGAGTCTTGCTAATACCGTCATGTCTGGTGCGTTCACCACATATTTTGGTGATTTATTCCAGTGGGAACAGATTCTAAGTGATTAAAAATACTTTCCACAATTCAGACGGGAATGTTGCGTCATTAGTTTCAGGTGGTTGCCTCGGCTTTGTTTGTAAGGGGCTAGGGTCAACAGTGATGTACATAGATGCTAGCTTTCAGTTAGTATCCGGTATGTGAGAATAAGATCTCCGCGAAGCCGTCGGTATTCTGATGAGAACACACCGCGTACAGGAAGACGCAGTTCGTAACTTAGACCGGATAGTCCACGTGTTGCCTTTGTGGCTCTTCTCTGTGGTTGTTTCAGTAGGCGAATGTCTCCTTTTAACTTTGTACACCAGGCGTGGATTGCATATTCAACGTGAAGACGAATATAGGAGTTAATCAGCATTGGTACTAGCTGTCGCTCAAAGATGCCGAGAGCTCATGTCAAAAGTCTCAAGTTCAATTTTGCCACCCTTGCTGCTTTCGAACATTGGAGCGAATTGCCAAGACTCTCTTGCACGATTGTACCT